TCTTAAATGGCTGACATCATCTCTGGTCTTCCCCCAAACAAGTGGCTCTTTCTCTGGTCCCAGATAATGAGCTTCTCCAGATACAATGGGAAGGCCTTAGCCCAAGCTTTTGGGGAAGACATTTGAAGCACAAGGGAATATTAGTGTTTTGCTTGGGCTGTGGAACAAATGTTCCGGAAATGAAAATTTTTTTGTTTGTAATTATGCATATCCTGCAGCATCTGCATAATGGGTCAAATTCAGCCTTGGCCTTGCTGCAAAACTGCCATCCATGTCTGTGGAGGAAGGTCAGCACATAACACCATGAGTGAACAGGAAGCTTCATGCTGAAAATAGTGCCATAATTTTTTTTTTTTAATTTTGGAAATGAACTTTCCTCTTTCAAGTCAATTTATCTGCATGTATTTGCAAACATATTCTAAGCACACACATACACTTGTAAAATGCACATATATGGAATCAGCCTTTGCTCTGAGAGGATCTTTATAAAGATTTTAGGGGTGGGGGTGAATGGGTGCCGGGCACTGAGGGGGGCACTTGACGGGATGAGCACTGGGTGTTGTTATTCTGTATGTTGGCAAACTGAACACCAATAAAAAATAAATTTATTATTAAAAAAAAGATTTTAGGTGATATATAAGCTGATTGCTACATTCTTCCTGTTACATGGTGGAATTTTAAAACAGAGGAGACAAAAATACTAAATTAGGAAAACTTTTTGCCACCAGGGAAACTCAGAAACACTACTGACTGCTAAGAGATCCAATGTGAATAAAATACCACCTGGGATTGGGCTCATTTTCAAAAATTTTTTATTTATTTTTTATTTTATTTTATTTTATTATTTTTTATTCATGATAGACACAGAGAGAGAGAGAGGCAGAGACACAGGCAGAGGAAGAAGCAGGCTCCATGCAGGGAGCCCAATGTGGGACTCGATCCTGGGTCTCCAGGATCAGGCTCTGGGCTGAAGACAGCACTAAACCACTGAGCCACCTGGGCTGCCCTCAAAAATACTTCTTAAGAGAACAATATAAAGATCCAATTTTGATTTGAACAGATTCACCAGAAGTTTGGTAGGTTTTTTTCCCTTTGCTTGTTTCAACACTTTAGATCTGCTGTGTTCTGCTGCTGTTCTAAAGGTTTAGCAGAATACTATGCATTAAGGTTTGAGGTTCAGCAAACACGTTTTCAGTTAAATTTTTTGACATTTTTCACTGGGTAACCCAGTTTAATCACACGGCATTTTCAGACCAAGATGGGAACAGTATTCTTGTGGCTACTTTAAGTCTTAAATTTGAGTATTTGGCAGTTAAGATTCTAATAAAAATCTTTTTAAAGAGAATATTTATCAACATAGCCTGAGCCAAAGTGTTCTTGTTAAATCAAAGAGATACAAATTTCACATTTGGTCTCCACGAAATTTCAGAGGTTTTAATGGAGGAAATAATATTTACAAAGAGGGCATGATTTTATCTGCTCCTCATTCCTAGCATCTTCAGGTCCAAATAATTGACGCCAGCCATTGCTCTTCTATGTGTGGTTACAAAAAGACTTTGTCACTCCATTGACTGATTTTATTCATATTTTTCTGAGAGAGATGATGTGTCTCCTTTTCTCCAGACCAACCACAATGGCACTTACTCAAAATCCAAAACAAAGTTGCTGCCCTGGTGGATTTAAAACATTTCTGGAGTAGTCTTCCCCTTCAGCTGTTGCTCCTTGTTATCCAATCAACCTGGGTATGCTTCAGTGCAAGATAAAATTAGTAGCCAGGTCACCAAGGTAGGGGGTAACGACTTCCTGGCTTATTTAAGTTCCCCAGTGTAGCTTCTGATGATTAGATGCTATAAAAATAAGAGATTTACCACAAATGACAGTCTCTTTGTCCCTTACTCAACTGTGCCTCCAGCCTCCTTGCATTTTAATTTGGGCAAGTAGTACAACGCCATTCCAGGCTGAAATCCAACACTCCCTTGGTTTTATTTGTAGGTGGCACAGCTTAAAAAATAAATTCTTTTGATTATTTGGTTTGTTGTTTTTTTTTTCTTCTTTTGCTCTTCGTCTGCCAGAAAAACTGTAAACAGTGCAGGAATGGGACCCGGGGGGGATGGAAAAGGAGTATCCCAGAAAACAGTTTTCCACCTAACTACTCCACTTGTGTGCACACATCTGCTATCTTTCCCAGCTTCTCCCTGCATGCCTAGATGTGAAGGTATGGAATAGCTGGCCATGGAAGGTTTCACTGTCTGCTTCCAGAAATCCAGATGAGGAATAGCATTAATCCATCCCATTTTCCCTCTTTCTTTTAGGTCAAGATCATGATCATCTCATCAAAAAATATTCACAAAGAAGTTGCATGGGACAGGGCTGAAGGGGTTCAAAATAGGTCTCCCCAAAACCACCTTGGCATGGGGACTATTTTGAGCTGAAGGCAACGGAGATCCTGCAGGCTAGAGAGAAACTACTGCCCCTCCTTTAACTACCTAGTTAGAATCTAACTGGAGTATCTTTCCCAGAATAAGGGTTATTACCAGAGATAAATTTTACCTGAGTGACCCATCTGCATGGCAGGGCAAACATCCAAACATCTGCTCTTCTTACTGTCCTGGGAACTGCCCTCCTCTCCTTTGAAGCCTCAGGCCCCTATCCCACTCCTTAGCTCAGGATGGCACATACACCTCATTTACCAGCCTATGAACCTTTTTTATACATGGGGTTCCCAAAGTACAAAATTATATTTTCTTTTCTCCTATGAATCTGTCTCATGTCAACTGAAGTCTTAGACCAGCCAGAAGAAATTTTGGAGGGTAGAGGAAACTTTCCTTCCCCCAAGTCTAAGATACACATTTTCCTCTTTCTCCTGACATAGAGATGTCTGACTAGAAAGTGCTAGGCACGTAACAGAAGCAAACAGGACACGGGAATAAAATAGGAAGAAACAAAGAAACTGCAACTACATTATAGGAACGAGAATCGGTTTGTTCTGGTGATACTGAGATGGCTAGAAAGACAGCAGAAGTCATGAACAGTTTCTACAGATTTTCCTTATTTCTGGCTGAACTTCACCACCTACATGCATTGAGACACACCAATATATTTCACAGCTCACCAACAGATTCCTGATTTCAGCACATTTAAATACAGCACATCAAGTATCTCCCTTGCCCCAATTATTTTTTTAAAGGTTTGTTTATTTATTTGTTTGTTTATGAGAGACACACAGAGAGAGAGAGAGAGAGAGAGAGGCAGAGACACAGGCAGAGGGAGAAGCAGGCTCCATGCAGGGAGCCTGATGTGGGACTCAATCCCGGGACTCCAGGATCACGCCCTGGGCCGAAGGCAGGCGCTAAACCGCTGAGCCACCCAGGAACCTCCCTTGCCCCAATTCTATTCATTCATGGGCTGTCCATTAGAAAAAGTTTACTTAATACACACAAGGTGAAGCTGTAGCCCAAAAGAGGTCCAGGGTCTTCTTGCTAGAAATTAATAAACTAAGAGAAGCATTTTTTAGAGTGGACAAATGAGACATTGATGGACAAATCATTTCTATATTGTCAGATTAGACTAAAAACTAAAAAGAATCAGATGACCACTCATTTCGTAGAACTAGCCATCCAGCCAACACGCAGATTTCTCCATGTGGACACCACTGATCTAGGGCACTACTGAACAAAAGCTCTGAGGAAGACCACAACCAAATGATAAATAACAAGGGAAAATGATGTTTAAATAAGAAGAAATATAGGAACGCCTGGGTGGCTCAGTCAGTTAAGTGTTTGACTTTGGTTCAGGTCATGATCTCAGAGTCCTGAGACTGAGCCCTGTGTTGGGCTCCGCACTCAGTGGGGAGTATGCTTGCTCCTCTCCCTCTCCTTTTGCCGCTCCTCTAGCTCGTGCTCTCTCTCTCTTTCTCTATCAAATAAATAAAATCTTTTAAAATATAATATAAAATCTTTTAAAAATATGAAAGAGTACAGGACCTTAGAATGGGATGATTACCCTGGATTATCTTGGTGAGGCCAATGTAATCACAAGGTCCTTAAAAGTGGAAGAGGTAGGCAGAAATCAGAGGGAGCTGTGATTACAGAAGAAAGGCAGAGAGATGCAACAATGTTGGCTTTAGAGACAGAGGAAGGGGACATGTGCCACGGAATGTGGGCAGCATCCAAAAGCTAGAAAGGGCAAGGAAAACAGATTCTTCCCTAGAGCCTTCTGGAAGGAATGCAGCCTTGCCAACACTCTGAATTAGCCCAGTGACACCAAGTCCAATACATGGACTTTCGAACTACAGACTTTTGAACTGTAAGAAAATAAAGTTATGCTGTTTAAACCACTAAGTTTGTGGTAATTTGTTATGCAGGGCATAGGGAACTAAGATGGTCACAAAAGTGATCCAGTCAGCATTAGCATGCTTTGGTACACAACAGAATCAGCAGCCAGGTGACCAGGGTGGGGACGAACAATTCTCTGGCTTTGTTAAGCTCCCCAGGGTAGCCTCTGGCTATTTAAGTGCCACAAAATAAGAGAATTATCATTAAGGACAGTCCCCACTCTTGAAAATTTAGCTCTAACGGGTCTGGGACACAAGAATATCCATGTTTACCTAGTGACTCTATTAGAAATTGATGGTGGTCCACATTCTGAAAGACATTCATTTCTGCTCATAAGGAGCTTATAATTTGGGTGCTGAGCAAACATAATTCCAAAACCTAATAGATAATAAATATGCATACTTCCAAAGACAGGTCAACATCCAGGCACAAGTACAGAAGGCTAGAAATGACCCAGAACACATAAATCCTTCTATATGCTTGAATAACAAAGCCTAGTTGTAGAATTAAGCCAGATGAGATCCCCACCAGCTCTCCTGTAGGGCCGCCACCAAAGGGTTCTGGTAAAAGTAGAATCCTGGCAACCCTGTAGATCTCTCCTGGAAAAGCACCCCTGGTGAGCACAGACCTAAGCCAAAACCCTTCTCAACCTCCCACCTGTCTCACCTGTTTCCTTCTGAGACGGTGATGTGCTAGCCCAGGGGGTGTCGTCTTCAAACTGAACCCAGTTGCTGATGGCCGAGGCCAGGTCAGGTGGGGGCTGCTCAGGGCTCCCAGGAGGGGAGGTTGCTTCAGAAATGAGGCCCAGCTTTTCGGAGGAATCATCCTGCTCTGAGTGGGAAAGCTCCTGGGAGCCTACATCCGCCACATGGTTCTCCCCGGAGGAGCTCTCAGACTGGTCTGAGTAGGATGACAGTGCTGGGAGATGCTCTTCGGTGCCCCCTGAAACAGATACCGGACACCACCATCAACGATGTGAGGAAGCCCACTCTTCAAAACTGTCTCATGAAGGAAAATCCAAGGATAGGTAAGGGGTGACCACAAGACGTACCATTCTGGTGAGTGCAGAAACACCCACGCCCACCTGTCTCTACGCTGACGGAGTGTTTTCCTAACATTGTATATACGAAGGATAACCTCAGCATGCCTACAAACAGCACCCAGGCAGGCTGAGACTGGAAGCCTTATTCACTATTATCCTAGCATCTACTCCACTGATTGGCGGTCACAAAAATGCTTAGAGGCCACACAGAAATATAGCTGAGTCAAAGGAGAAAAGCAAAAGGCAACAGGGACTGATGGAGACTTTGGCTGAACAGGAGAGCTTCTGTCTGGACTAAATACATTCACATTCAAATTCACACTTCAAACTCCATGCAGTCCAAACTATACATGTCTGTGGACTGCCAGGTGCAAACTCTGTACTGACGATCCAGCCGAATGAGGCCCAGAGGCTCTTCCCCTACCTTTCTAGCACTTTATTGGTCCTAGGATACTTAACGGCCTTCAAAAAAAATTTTTTTTAAACAACAACAACAAAAAATTTAAATAATTATATTCTAATTGTGGCGGTGGTTACACAAATCGATTAAAGTTTCACCACTGCATACCAAAAGAGGTCAATTTTATTATATGAAAACTTTTTAAAAATAAAGGTACTAACATAAAACTTTTTTCTGCCATCATTAGCCAAACAAACTAGTCTACCTGCACGTAACCAAACGCTTTAGACTAGCACTGCCCAACAGAAATAAAAGCTGAACCACATATGTAATTTTAATTTTTTTAGTAGCCAGATTAAAAAAAAGTAAAGGAGGTGAATTACTTTTAGTAATATAAATTTCAACTCAGCATGTTGAAAAGTTGTAATTCTAACATATAATTAATATAAAAGTTACTAATGAATTATCTTACTTTCACTAGGTCTTTGAAATTCGATGTATTTTATACTTAAAACACATCTCAATTCAGACTAGCTGCATTTCAAGGACTCAATAGCCACATGGCCACCATACTGGACAGCTCACCTGTCAACTCACACTTTCCAGGTGCTGTAAATGAAGCTGAGCAGTGCTAGCTGCAGTGGAGCAGGTTCACTTGACAAGGCTCTGCAAATATCTCCTGTCCCCTACCTTGACCTTCATCCCTGAGCAGCAGGTCCCTAGAAGTCAATTTAGCCAGCTTCACCATAATCATGGATGGCAATTAACTGAGCTCTTTCCATGTGCCAGGCACTGTTCTAAGCACTTTACATATATTAATTAATTTAATCCTCACAGCCCTCCTGAGAAAGGTACTGTAATTACCCCTACTACACAGATAAACTACTTCACAGAGAGGTTAAATAAACCATCTACCCAAGGGCACATCACTTAGCTGTGACAGAGCCAGCATCCAAGCCCAAGCAATCTGGCTCTAGCACATGTCACGCTTCACAACTATGCTTTGAAAACTGAGAAAATCCAAATTGCTACTGGGAGTAACACCCTATAAGGCTGAGTATGACGTACTTTGTAAATACGAAGTTTACGCTCCTTGGAAGAAAGCACCAATACTTTTGGTATTTCCAGGCCCTCTTGTTTGGGACTCTAAGTTTCCTAAAATACTTCCCCCAGGCTTCAAAAAGTGGAAAGATCTGCACTTGAGGAAAGTGACAAACTGGCTCTTTTTTACATATTAAGATCCCACCCAAAGAATGATCAAGTAGAAGTCATTATAAACAGTTGTGGCTCTTTGCTGCACTTCTTACCCTCAGAAGGGACAGGAAAGAGTGGCTCCTCATTGAAGGAGACCCACTCTGACTGGTGGGTAGCGATCACATGGTCCAAGGTCGTCATGCTAGGAAGGCACTGGTCATCTTCACACCGACAGTCTCAGGCAGACCCCAGAGTAATGTCTGGGGTGGAGGTATGGTGGCGTGGTGGACTTCGGGCCTCGGCTCTGTTATAAGGGTCTTGCAGAGGGCAGACTTAGAACATAGATTAGCTCCTCTTGCCTTTGGCTAATCTGCCAAGCAGAAATCTGTGTAAAAAAATAATAAAAATGAAAAAGGACAACTATCACATTATCTCCAATCCACACAGGTCCAGGGTTTTCAACACTGCCCACGAGGAGGTCTGGGTGGTTTTCAACTTGTATTACTTGTCTCTGCCCTGTCTTGTTGCCGCTTCTTATACAGAAATATCTGCCTTTAGCATCAAGATCTCTGCATATGACTTCGTATCAGACTTGTAAATAATCACGCAAATTTTAGTAATCAGATTCCCAAATTTCCCCAATTATTATATTTTGGAAATACTTTCATTTATAATATAAGGCTATTGCTGCGAAACAAAAAACTTTTCAAAGTACTTTCACTCTCTTTTACTAGATGGTAAAATAAAAGCATGTTCTTTCCTCTTAAATCATAGCACTTTTTGCCTTAGGCAGGTAGTTCTTTGCAAGCTTGATTTAAATCCCTGGCAGAAACCCAACTATCTCCAGATGGTACCTCCAAGCATGGTTTACCAATCAAGAGAAATAGAAATGGAATCATCTTGTTCATTTGGAGTAAAGGGGAAGGGAATATTTGCTTTATAAAATGTGAGTCAAAAAAACACGTTTTCAATCTAGGCCAATTTGAATTAGTACATAAAAGTCTAGCCTTTACTCACATTACAATTATGTTCTATGTATATAGAAAGAAACTTAATAGACTCATAATTCTGTTTGTACTATTAATGTCCATTTACAGTTTGAACCTAGCTCTTGCTCTTATGATAAATTAATAAAATCTGAATCAATGAAAAATTAATGTTTCCACAAAAGAGCTACTATTTGCCCTGAATAATATCAGTTCTTATTAATGGAATACTTACAATATTCATTTTGGTCTAGAATAATTTAACCCATATCCTTCTGACTGGTGCATAATAAAATAAAATGTTGAGGAAATTTTAGTATAGGTTATCGCCTGCTATAAATAATCTATGCTGGAGTTAATCAGAATAGAAATATTTAATAGTTTTTATCTTTTTTGGTTGTTAAAACAGTTCCCCTGTATAATACTGCCTAAAAATAACTGCTTTCATACATTTATAATTTTTAGAAACATATTTTAAAAATATTTCTTAAAATATTTTATTTATTTGAGAGAGAGAGAGAGTGAATGAGAGGGAGAGAGAATCTGAAGTAGACTCCGCACTGAGCATGGCCCAACTTAGGGTTTAATTCCACAACTGTGAGATCATGGCTTGAGTTGAAACCAAGAGTTGGACATTTAATCAACTGAGCCACCAAGGCACCCCCAGAAACATATTTTCATACCATACTTCATTTGATTTGATAGCCATTTTATTTAAGTAAAGCAGATATAACTATAATCTTTTACAGATGAAGAAATTTGGGGTGAGAGGAGTGATTTATCCATCACCTTCATTGTTTTGAGGCCCTTGTTTGATGCCCTAAGATGTTACCTCCAGGCTTCTAACTGGAAGAATTCACACATTCCAGGATAGTGACAAATAGGACTCTTTTTCCTCCATGATTAAGACCTTATCCACAGAATCATCAACTAGAGGCCATAACATCAGGTGTGTTAGATGCACCAAGCTAGGAAGTGATCAATACAACGCTAAAACCTAGGTCTTCTAGTGCCAAAACACGCTGATCTTTGGAACACAAACACACACACACACACACACACACACACACCAAAAACAAAAACAAAAAAACAAAACAAACAAACAAAAAAAACCCCACTAGAATATATGCAAACTCCCCCAACTAAACTACTTTACAAACACCAATTACAACAGAACCATAATGAAACAATCTGCGAAAATCCCCATGTGGAAATCTGCCAGGATACTCCAGCTGTGCAGAGAATGGAAAGCCTGGAAATCTTTCTTCCAAGTCCCTCTCCTAAGATTCTTACCAACCATAGGACCAGACGTATGCAAACAGCCTGGAGAATACAGTGTTCCAAAACCAGACCTCATCAGAGAACCACGCAGAGCCCAAAGACCCTAAAGCTGACTCCAACGGACTTCTCCCTTCAAGCTGTTCTCAAGTCCCATCAAACACTAAGGTCGCTCAGTGTGTTGGTGGCTGCAGGCCAAGATAAGACAGCAGAATAGTAGAGTCAGGCTCCTCCTCTCCCTACAACAGCAGCATGTAAGCCAAGTCCAGCAACAACAAAAAGCCACAACACAAGTCCATGTGCTGACACATGCAGCGTCATAGCTCAATGGGAAAAACATCCTCCTGACCCCGTGATGATGAATCCAGCAAAATTCACAGATGAGTGTGGGTGGGGGAGGGGACGAGAGGAGAAGGAAAAGGGTGAGGGCAATGGGACAAATACTGAGAAATTTTCGAGCTCAAAGGTTTTAAAGACCAAAGGTCCAACTCTCAAGTTCACAGATGAGTAAATGGAGACCCAAGGAAATCAAACATAGCAACACAGGATGAGAGCATGGGCCTGGGACTTGAATCCTATACAGCCTTTAAGCCTCATTTCACCCCTGTACAGTAGGAACAACAAGACTCACTTTATAATTTTAAGGATTAAGAGAGAGAATATACACAGAGTGCTTAGTACTGGGAGTAATGAACCCTCTATAACATAGAGGTCTTACTACGTGCCAAGCCCCAGTCCAAACTCCTTATGAATGTCAGCAATAGCAGTCGCTGCTGTTGTTAAATTACATGCCAGAAGTCACGCAGCGCATTAGTGGAAGTCTTGGGACTAGAATACAAATTTCATAAAACTACCCCATTTCTGTCATTTACATATGCTGGCATTAGGGATTTCTCTTTTCAATCATTTTTAGAGCAATTCTCCCAGATGTTATATGGAGTCAAGCACTTGACCTCCTCTTTACAGACAAGGGCACAGTCTAGCTAAGGAACAGAGACTACTACTCAAAGCATGAATGAAAGAGCCCCAAAGCTTTACCTACACTTCCTTAGCTTGTCCATCCCAGGTCCAGATATGGACTGGTTACAGATAATAAACAGTCCCAAAAAAGCCTAGTGGAACAAATTTATTACAGGGATCCCTCTATCATAATCCTGTGAAATGGATTCTGGGTACTTGCCATGACAACAGCCATATCCAATAAGCCACAAGATGCTTGACCATGCAGAGTGCTGTGCTAGCAGCTGGAAACCACAGAGGAACCCAATAATTGTGAGGCTAAGTTCACACTGGAATTGGGTTCGCTGTGAAAACCTCACCCCATTTTTAGAATGTGAATCATAAAGTGAGGTTTAAAATCACCACAAATGGGGAGTGACTCAGTATCAGCAGCAGGATTGACCAAGAGGCACTACAAGTTTCATTGAAGTCTCTGGGTTGCCACTTCAGAGAGCAGCTTCTTTCTCAGCATCCCTTACACACTAAAATCTGAGGATGGAAAACACAGTTGGCTAATAAAATGGGAGTCACAGAAATGGACCTATTTTGTGCCAATCCTGATACACATTCAAGAGCCCTATGTGTTTGGAAATATACAAAGCACCCTTTGAGACAGTGACCCTCAAGCAGCTTGCAATCTAGCTGGGGACAAAGAAGAGCAAACAACAAATCTGGAAATCATCCTGCTGCAGGACACACCAGAAATGCTGTTTAGCCATAGAGAGATCTGCAAGGACTGGAACTGTAAAGAACTGAGCAGATTTCTAGGATTTGAAGGATATCCTCACATCTGGACCAGCAGAAGGGAAGAGAAAGAATATCTGAGCACAACTTGGGACAGAGGATCATCATAAGTGGGCTTGTTTCTAGGCCAGTGAAGAGGTCAGTCTGATGAAAGCTGAGGTGCCTACGGAGGAAATGTGGGGAGAGAGGATTGGTAGCCTTACCAGCTGAGAACAGTTCCGTTGGAAATGGAGCTACCTAGGGTTGAAGAATGGAGAGTGACTGAAGAAATGTGCCTATGCGAGATTAATGTTCCTCAGACTGCACTGACAAGAAGCTTAGAGATGGAAACCATCGGCCACAATAGGACCCCTGTGTCTTGGGTGATGTCAGGGGTCAGCATTATCAGGAATGTGTACTGAGCTCTCTGTGCTGGGCCCATTTTAGGGCCAGATGGCACAAGGGAGAACAAGACAGCATCACTGGCCTCAAGCAGCTTACAGCAGATGGCAGAGGGGTATGGCAGCCACATAAAACAGTAACACAGTCAGTTCTCTAACCTATTTTGACAGGTTATCCATCAAAACAATAACCGTAGAGCATCAAGGAATTAATTAAGAGACTACTGAGCAGCAGGCAGTCATAGTCATGAGCTACCCCTTAAATTGGAAGGGAGGGCTCTGAGCAAAACAGTGGAGGGGCAAAGCCATTTTAGGAAGGGGGAGCAGGACTGGCATGTCTAGATGTCAGTGAGTTATGTTGTGTTTATGGGAGGAGATGATAGGCATGGTGTTGAGTGCACTGGAAAAGGAGGCGTTAGAACAGTGACAGCTCTACATTCCAGAATGAGTTTGACCTCTTGAAGCTACCTTTTCCATTCCCAAGGGCCTTGATTCAGCCCCTCACTGTCTCTCACCTAGATAAGCACCAGCATCTTACCTTTCTCCCTGCCTTCTTGGTCACATCCCTCCAAAGTACTACCCAATCTACTGTGCCAGAGTGTTGTTCCTAAAAGCTGAAATGCCCATGCCACAGCTCTGCTTAAAAACCCCTGAATGGCCCCTCAGAGCCATAGACTCCTTTCCTCCTTGTGTTAGGCAGAGTCAGTTTCTGTTGCTTACAACCAAGAACTCTGATACATGGTACCCTTCCTGGACTCTCCTTAATCCCACTTGCCCCTTATCCCCCATATCTTCTGTGTACTTACAGTGTCTCACTTACATTAATTTATCAAATTATAATGACATTATTTGCCAATGCAGCTCTCATGCTAATTAGCATGTAAGCTCCCTGAGAAAGGGGATTAGATTGTTTTCTTGTTGATGTCTTCTACTCTTAGAATAGGGTCTTGCATTTTGTAAATACCGAGTAAATGGCTGAATTAGTGAATGAGCAGATTAACTTGTTTTACCACTCCTCAGGGTTTCGAGCAGGCAATGTTTTGCTAAGGTTAATTTACACGCTGTATATAAGATAGCTTAAGGAACATTCTAGACATAGGCAACATGTTCATTTCCTTTTCTTTCTGATCTAAAACTCTGCTATCCAATTCCAACACAGTAGCCACAAGACACCAAGTAACTATTAAGATGTAGCTAGTCCAAACTGAGTTGTTCTTTAAGTATAAAATATATACCAGATTTCAGAGAGTACAAAAATGTGTAAAATATCTACTTAATAATTTTTACATTGATTACATGTTGAAAAGATAATATATTAGATTTATTGGGCCCAATAGAACATACTGTTAATTTCACCTGTTTCCTTTAACATTTTTTAAATGGGGCAACTAGGAAATTTAAAATAATATGTATGTAGTTTGTACTCTATTTCTACTGAACAGCATGGCTCTATAATACTCCACTCTTTATTTCATCTTTGTTTTTGAAGGATATTTTTCAGTAGACATAGAATTTAAGGTTGACTTTTCCTTTCCTTTCATATTTTGACTTTTGGTTTCTATTGTTTCTGATGAGGAGTTGGCTTTATTTCCTCTCCTACTGATCTCTCTTCAAGTTCGTTGACTCTTCTATCATCTTCATATCCTGTTAATCTCATCCTGTGAATTTTTCATCTTAATGATTCAACTTTTCTATTCTAAAATTTTTATTAGACTCTTTTACAGTTTCTATTTCTCTGTTGAGATGCCCTGTATGTTTACTCCTTATAACAATATTTTCCTTTAGTTCTTTACACATATTTATAATAGCTGTATTACAGGTTTTGTCTGCCATATCCAACATCTGGGCCATTTAGGGACTAGTTTCTGTTGACTTTTTAAAATTATTTTAATATTAAAATTAATATTTTCCTATTTATTTGCATACCTACTAATTGTTGATACACTGAACATATTCTGGATTTGATCTTCCTCTGCAGAGTTGATTTTTGTCAGAAGTTAACCTGCTTGCTCACACTCATCCTGTATGGGCTTGGTCTTCACTTTGTTGGATGAATTCGTAAAAAGCCAAAGAAGATGTCTCCTAAGCCTCTCTGACAGCAGCAGAACTGAACTTCCAAACTCAATATCCACGGCAGATTTCAACAGCACTTGGCTCTAGGCATTGTTAGGGTGGGTTTAGAGTAGGTCTTACTCTAGAGCAGCTGGCAAACTACAGCCATGACACAGGCTGGCCCTCTGCCTTTCTTCACAAATAACGTTATATTGAGACAAAACCATGCATATTCATTTACATACTGTCTATGGCTGTTTTTGCTCTACAATAGAAAGTTGAGCAGTTAAAACAGATACTGTATAGCTCACAGGACCTAAAATAATTACTACCTAACTCTACAAAATATTTTTATCAATCCTGCTTGAAAGCATGTTCCTTACCCCTAAGACATAAAATTTTTGTGTCTCTTCTGAATGCTTAGAATGTTAATAATGTGTTAAGAAGGTCTTTCCAATGTGGTTGGGCTAGACTGCCAACATCTCCTAGTATTGCTTGATCTCTACTATTTCTGTTCCATTCTCAACCTTGAAGCCACCACTTTTAGTAAATCTCCTATGGTTTTGTTTGTACATGCGCACTCCAGGCAGGCCAAGGATTCCCTGGGTATACCCAGACACACTTCTGCTCCCCCCTTCCTCTTGCTACTCTCTATATTCTAATGCCCTGCCCAGCAGATACCAGCTGCTTCAACTGCCCCAGACTCTGATCTGTTTCCTTAGCTCAGCAGGACTGCTGTGCTCAGTGCAGACTTCAGCATACAATGCTACATCAGGAAACTCTCCCCTGGAAGAGAGCCAAAGTGATCATCAGGCTCATCTCATGAGCTTTCCTTCTCTCAGGATTGAAATACTGTGCTTTCCATTGACCAATACTTGAAAATAGTTGCCTCATACATTGTCCAGTAGTTTTATGGTAGTACAATGCACAAGGACTAGTTTGTTACCAGTTATGGCCCAAATTGGAAATCTTCCCGGGAAACATTCCCTCTGACAACCATTTTTAAAAAGAGAAAGAGTCCAGTTCAGATCATCTAAATTAGGGTGACTGTATAGTGATGTCCTGGAAAT